AGTTCAGGGCCATCAAAACGACGGTCGTCAGCTGCCAACACCCTTGATGGTCTTAGGTTGTCGTGTGGATCATTTTTAAATTTCACAAACAGCCCAGATCATCCTTCTCCATTTAAACTCCCAAAAGGTTAGTTTTATTATAATATCATTATAATAATGGTATGTTTAAATATAAATTATATGTATAATTTCCAGATCCAGATTTAGTTATAAAAGATAAACCATTTAGTCCACGATATCAAGTTTTCTCTGAATTATTGCAGACTGAGATAAACTATGTTGGAGTGTTAAACACAATAATTACTGTGAGAATTTTTTATTCATGTCATATTGTACTATAAATTCTTTGAATTTAAATTTTTTTAAATTTTTATTGTAGCGTAATTTTTTCTTTGTTTATCAAATTATTCAGGTTTTTATTTTGTTTATTCATAGGTATACAAAGAACCACTAGAAGAAATGATAGATAAAGAAGACTGTTTGCTTAATAATACTGAAATCAAAATTATTTTTGGAAATGTTTTACCTATTTATCAAGTACATCGAGAAATGTTAGAGGAGCTAAAATGCCTTGCTACATCGTGGCAAGAAGATAGTAGTATAGGCAGTGTTTTTCTCAAATATGTAATACTACACATTTGATACTAGTTTTTGCAATTAAATACATTTTAATTGTTAATTTTGTTATAGTCCAGTGAATTAGTGAAAGCTTACCCACCATTTGTGAATTTTTTTGAAAAAACAAGAGAGATGCTTTTGCAATGTGATCAGACAAAACCTCGTTTTCATGCATTCCTTAAAGTTGGTCAGACAAGACCTGAATGTTGTCGTCAGAGTTTACAAGAACTTCTCATTCGGCCCGTTCAACGCTTACCCAGCATTAGCCTACTTTTAAATGGTGAGTTTTGTTAAGTTGTTCAAACTTTAAATAGTTGGTTATAATAAAGAGCATTTAAGTTAAATTTTAAAATATTTTTATAGATATATTAAAACATTCTGATAAGAATAATCCTGATCATCAAGCTCTTGTATCAGCCCTAGCCAGTATACGAGAAGTAATGACTCATATAAATGAAGACAAAAGAAAGACTGAAGGTCAAGTTGTACTTTTTGATATATTTAATGATATCGATAATTGTCCTGTGAGTATAACATTGATTATATTTTTGTGAATAACATTGAAATGTATATCTTTATTTTGTATTATTTGAATATTAAGTATGGAAATTTGAATAACTGTTAAATTTTGTTTTTAGCCTCATTTAGTTTCTTCACATCGAAGTTTTATTACAAAATGTGATGTGATTGAGTTAAGTGATAATCTTAGTGGTCGTGGGGATCATTTAACAATATTTGTTTTTTCAGACGTTGTCGAAGTAAGAATTGTATATTAATTATTCTACAAAGAGTAATAAATTATTAACTTTGTATGATGATCATTATTTTCTAGGTCTGTAAAAAAAGAAAATCATTCAATGGAAAAAGTCCTAAAGAACCGAATTCTGGTTCACACAAATTAAATGGCGGTGCCAAATCATATAAACATATCAAATTGATGCCGTTAAATATAATCAAACAAGTTATAGATATTAGAGAAACTGAAGGTAAATGAATTCCCCTATAATAGTTGTGGTAAAGGATTTCTGCATTTAAGTGATCAATTTTTTCCTCATTCTACATTTATTTTCATAATAGCCTTGTATGAATGAATATTATTTATATTTACTAAGAGAACACAACATCTTAATTTTTTTGTCTTTGTTTTACAGACAGCGTTTATTATAGCCAATTTATATTAAGCAATTCACATTTATTCTTGTTAATTTTAATATCAGTATAAATTAGACCTATTATTAAATTTAAAAGTAACAAAAATGACTTGAAGTTTTTTTGGAGATTTTTTTTTTGATATTTTAATTTGATTGAGAGTTATAAGTTTGTAAAATATTTCAATATTTTCATCAAAATCTCATGTTTTTAATTGTAACTTAATGATTATTCTAATTAATATTGTGTATTAATACAGATTGTTTATTACTTGCAAAAATAAAAGTAAAAAAGATTTATTATTGATCCATGTAAAAATATTATAATTAATCTCATAAAAGTGTAAATTTTAACTACAATGTAATTATTCTTATTCTAGACTGTCGTAATACATTTTCGTTAATGATTATTGATAATCATGACTTTAAAGAACGATTATACACATTTACTATGACTGGGAGTAGTTGTAGTGCTAATCATAAAAATTTATTCTTAAAAAATATATCGCAACAAGTTGCCAACACCGTGTGTTCTGTGAGTATGCAAGTGGTTCATAGAGAATCATAGAAATTTACTGATTTATTCTATTAAATTTAGGGCAATATATTAGTGTCATTGGATTCTCAGCAATTGGATATTGATACAAGTGAAATTACTACTGGTACTCTTGGAAAAGCTTTCAAGTAAATTATTGTGAAAAAATGTTGATTGTATGAAATTAATATAATTATGTATATTCACAATTATTTTACAGATTTGCAAGCAGAACACGCATTAAAGTTGGACGAGCATTGAGCTTTAATAAAACTCCTAGCAAGTTGAAACGAGCTGTGTCTACCATGATGAGTCCTGTTCTCAGCTTAACTAATAATGGAGGGTTGAGTACACATGCCTTAACACCATCCACACAATTAGCCAATATGCACTTGGCATCGTGCACCAATTTAAATGTGAGCCCATTAAATGAGCATAATAGTAGACATAGTTGTACACTAACGAAAGTCAAGAAACATATTAAACGCAATTCTAAATTGCGAATGTCTAGTTAATCTTTCAGTCGGCGATCATTTGGAGAAGATAACATGTGTAGTCTTTTGCTTTTTAAAAAAAATTAATTAAAAAATCTTACTTTATTGGATCTCAATAAAATAAATAAGGTACTTGACAATTTGCTTTACTTGTTGAACAAGCTTACTGTGTCGATTAACTTGCAATGGCTATATATGTGGTAAAGACCTTTTATGGTTGAATGTATGCATGTATGTTGTGTTATTGATTTTTTTATTATTTAATCATTACTATATCAAGTAATAAATAATTAAAGCTTGGATTTTATAATATTTTCTCATACATGATCTTTATTTTTGAAAGGCTTTATTAAAGTTGCTTATTTTTTTTTAAAATATAATCACTATGTTAAACAAATTCAATTAACTAAACAAACTAAATTACTGATAAAGTTGTAAATAGAAATTGTATTATCATAGTTGGGTACATAAAGGATATATTTAAAATGTATCAAAATTGCTTAAATTTTTAAACGGGACTTTTTTAATTAAAATTTTTTTATTTATTCATAGAAATAATTTTTAGCTTACAAAAAAAAAAAAAAAATTGTATCTTAATTGTTATAAACTGTCAATCATCACTTAAAGATATCAATTTTATTAATTTTCCAGGGTGGTGTGTTTGATTGTTTTATTATATATAAAGCTTCAAATATACTATTGAAATTATGTTACATTGTTCTGATCTGACTAATTTATTTAAAAATAGTATTATATTGAATTGTATATTGTGAATAATTATTAAATATTTTGAACTGTATCCTATTTTGTATATATTAATTTTCAACTCTTATTTTAATTTAAAATTTTGTGTAATTGGTGTATATTTTTATTTAATTTTAATACTGAACAACTACTTGTTCTTTGGCTGTACAGTTTTAAATTTTTAAATATTTTTAAGTACATCATAAACGAATATTCATATTATTCAAATCTTTGCTTCACTAGTAATGTGATTTTATTCTCGGTTTATTTATTTTCATGAAATTAGTTTGATTTAATAAACATATAAAAATATTAAACAACAAAATAAAATTAGTATCAGTTACTTTCATGTTATAAAAATTATTTTAATAAACAATATTTTATGTAATATATTAAGTTAAAAAAATATGTTACTCTGATAAAATTTTACAATATTTCTAAGTACTGAATTTGACTAATTTTTATTATAGGAAATGTCATCAGATGACCATACATTTCCATCGCCACCGATGTCAGTTCAGCCAAATAGAAAAAATAAAACGTCAATTTTAAGTTTATCATCGGTGCCCAGGTAGCGTCCATCTGCCTATCGATACCTGGTAAACTCTTTTCGAAACTCGAAAAATTTTGTTTCGATTTTAAGTCGTCAGTATCGATAGTTATATTATATTATTATAATAATTCTGTTTTAAAACTCAACTTTAAAATTTTTTTTAAATCAATTATTTTATTATTACCTTTTTTGTTAGTGTTTAAGATTTGTATAATAATGTTGTTTTCAACTTTTCCCAAGACATTCTTGCCCCAAAATTTTCTTATCCTATACTTCATTGTTAACAATCGTTCATTTCATAAATTTCATTCTACAAAAAAAAATGTTTACCATATATGTTTACTTGGTTTTATACTGAGTATTTTAAAGTTACCATGGTATATACTTTTGTAGTCTTAATTTATAAATTTACATAAATTATATGTGTGAACAAATTTTTTTTTTATCTTAGAAAAATTAAACATAACACTTATAACGGTGCTCAAGTATTTGATCATTAACTACCTTAAGCTCAAACAATAATTTTTTATGTATTCTATGTGTGTGTTTGGAATTATATATTTTTTATATATTTTTAAATTTATTTTGTAAGTGTAAATATGACGATTCAGTTTTGTGATTTATTGATGATATATATTGTATGCAATCAAAATTAAAATAACTGGACGAACGAATTACATTTTATATGTAAAATAATAATATAAACATTTAATATATTATTATGTAGAATTGAATTATTATTGTATTGTTATTAATAATTATTCCTTTGTCTTTTAGTTAAAATTCAATTTTCAAGACTAAATATTGCAATGTTGTAAGATTATAAAGTTTAATTAATTTTTTTTAAGTACTTGGTTAAAGGTTTTCAGAATGGAATAGGTCACAACAATCAGCTAATAAAACAACAATTTCCAAGAATAAGTACTCTACAAAATATGTTTGATATTTTATGAGTTAATTATTTTGTTAATTTTACATATATGTAATACTATTCAGTCGTACTGCATTCAGTAGTGATTATTGCTCATTATGTAGTTTGTTATTAAACATCATGTGATTTGGAATATTTTAAGAACCTATAAGTAAAACAAAAAAAAAAGTGTCATTAGCAAATAAAAATCAATTATTTTTTTTTCATGATATTCTATTTATTTATTTGTATATATAAAATAAAACTAATGTACTTCATTAAAGCAATTCTATCAAAACTTTTTTCTCACAGAGAATGAATAGTGTTAGCTTCGAAACGAATGTGAAGTACCTAATTGACAAGACTCATTTCTCGTGGAAAAGCTTCTTAATGATGGAATTAAAGTTTAAATGTTTGGGTTTTCCTTTTTATAAAACGTATAAACATAAAATGTCTTATCTATACTTTTTTTTCTAGTTTATTTATTTATTATATATTTTACAGGCTGAGCCTTTTTTTATAAAGATATATAAATTAATTTTATTAACAGAAGATATGTGCATAATAGATAAATAGTAAACAAGAGTATGAGGTATATTAGAAACATACAAAGAAGATAATGAAAATAAAAACAATAACAAAATAATCATTAAAAGAATGTAAAGTGTGGATTCGCTTTGACGTTGGACATTTAATTGCCTTAATAACTTGTTGACTAAGAATTTGGTGGTAGAATGTGAGACATAAAAAAGAATAGTCGTTTGGGTTGTAAGGTCAGGTTCCTTAAAACAAATTAAAGATACTAGGTCAGGTTTATAGACATATATCCTATACCGCTTAAGAAGTTTTGACTTTTTGAGTATCTATACAATATTGGAGGAATTGATGTTCCGACGTTAGTTAATTAAAAATTGTAACTTGTATAATAATTAATAGTGTGGAATCTACTTATTCCATTTGTTATTATTGAAACAAAAAATTTAGGATTCATAATATACGTCATAGATAATGTACCAAATATTTTTCTCATGCGATTTTTAATTTAATATTCATTTTCTGCGCCGTACTATGATTTTTCTCGTCGATTTTATTTAGGTTTATTATATACAAGGGTTAAAATGGGGGGGACGCAAGGGACTTAGTCCTCCTACCTCTAATGCGTCCCTTCAACAAACTATTCGGAAAGCTCCAATTATAACCTAATATTAGTCAATATAATTCAGAATTCCGTTGAGATTAAATCTTGGTTTTTTTTTTTTTATATCAATTGTTACTTTATTTTTATCAAATGTATTTAATACAAATTATGGACCATCTAATAAATGTGTAAAAAATATAATTGATTTTATTAGTTATTGCAATGGCTATAGATACCAACTGAATACTGAGATTAATAGGTTTCCGGTGGGTTGTCGATAACCTAACCTATAACATAATTATATTATTTAATTGAGCTTATACGTTTAATATATATATTATATATACATAAACATAGGTCAAGTGTGAATGTGTGATTTATCAATCATGTTCATCCCATCATACCTAGAATTTGAATTGTTTTTTATACAATTTAAAGCACAAAAAACACTATATTCTTACGATTATATATTTTTTGTCTGGCTGATTTCTTTAGTTTTTTTGAAGGAACCACTATTTACAACTTAATATTATCAGAAAAATAAAATGTTTAAGTTGTGTAAAATATTAGTTATTCTTAAAAGAGTATTGTTTGTAATTTGGATATTATTCAGGGTTAAAAATGGAATGAGTATGTTATCACTGTTTATACATTAGATAGGTACCTATATTTATTAGATATATCTAAGATTATATATCTAACGCTTAAAACTATAGTGAGACATTATTGCTCCCTGAAAATTTTCTCCACTTTAAGCCCAGATTATGTGTTAATCGTTTTCCTGTAATCTGTATTGAATATTGTTCAATTGAAATTCGTATTTTTTTTTCACCGATGGGATGGGGAAAAAATAGTTAAGCAACAAGTTTATACCTACTTAAATATGTCATCCGTAGTCATCTCTTCAGCTCGTGTCAGAGTTCGTATCGGCATTGATATGATGCCGCCGTCTTAGAGGTTTGACTCCTCCATCACACTTCATTGCGAATTTCCATTCTAAAATCAACGCTTCTTTGGGTGTTATCTGAAACGAGATCAAAAATATAAATTAAACCTTCACTCGGATCCGGTCAGGGCAGACGAGGTACCAATGAATATCGCGTTGGTGTTTGGCTATCGGTCAAAACTCTGAACTCAGATTTTACTGTCAAACAAAATGTCTGAGCTTATTTTTGGAGTAGGTCATATAAATTAAAAATATATAAATTTAAATGCCTGATGAGCTATGAATAATTACTACTGTTTCTATAGGTGTATACGTAGAGCGAAGTCTGATTCCCTAAAATGTCTATTTTTTTTTTTTGTGTAACTAAAAGTCAGTTTATAAAATACTATAAATGAGTTGGTACATAATGCTTTCGTAGAAAAACCTAAACAATATTATGTACAAAGATCGCCATATAGAGGTACCTATAAATGTGGTCTTGTATTACCTCTTCTTCGATGGCCACTTTCCGGATGTTCCATAAAAACTCCAATATGGAAAACATAAACGCAATTAAACACCCGAGAACCAGTACCACAAAAACGCCACCGATTTTCGTAAAACCAAGTTCGTCGCTTTCGTCTTCTTCCTTTATGGAAAGAAAAATTAAATAGAGACGATACAATAATATGGTTTGTTAGTATTCGTCGTCCGCTCTAGATACTCACCTCGCATTTATTGCCTCCTTGAACTTTCCACCATTTGTCTTTTAGTTCTCGCATGAATCCGGACTCTTGTAATCTCAACACCGATTCACTAATCAGTGTACGGTACGGTGAATCTTAAAAGAAAAATAACGGATTACCTATGTTATAGATGAATGGGTATATTATATTATAATATTATAATACATTAATACTATATAATATACATCATAATATTGTTTTTTTAAATTAATTTAATCTAATTATCGTACCTATGCTTATATGTTATATCTATAATGAAATATATTACATCAACATCGTTTGATGCACAGCTTTGGAATACTTAATTAATTCTTTTGCAATTATTTACAATTTTACTATTGTTATTTTTATTTTATTTATCTTGCACATTATCATTAATGCAAAGTATTGTACGACGTGGTTTTTAAATGTAATATTGCCCAAACGTGTACAAATTAGAAATATAATTTTTGGTTATCTGCTGTCTGTCTGTTCAAGAAAGGCTTCGAAACTAATGAACCGATTTTTGTGAGAGTTTCCAAAAATACTTATTTAATGCATTGGCCGTTAGATATATAATGAAAAACGATAGATAAGTATTAAGATTCACGTAAGGGTTATTCAAATACCTATCTATTACGATATTTTAAAATATGAACTATACTTTAGCTTCCATCGGGTAGTCCGTAATAGGCGTATAGATAGGTGTATATGTGTTAAGGTTTTAAAAGACCTTATAAGGGACGCATAGTGCAGCTGCTAAAAATTAAACGTGAATAAAAGTGTATATATACGATACACTGTCCTATGTTTATTTACAACGATTGCCACATGAGCGAGTACGGAAGAGCTACTATATGAGATGCAATGATAATAATTTTGAATTTCGATTATACGTTAGCTAGACAATAGACAAATTAATTTATCGGAATGAAAGTGAATGACTAAGTAATATTAACTGTACATAGAAAGTGATATTTTATTACAATAGCCCCGTGACGGTGGGTGAAGAGGAGGAAGTAGATGATTGATAGCGACGGATGCCGACAGTGTCATTTCAAAACAAAATACACACACGTTGAATACCAGTAGGCAGTAGCCTACAATATTATTTTAAAGGCTATATATACTACTCACTCATCGGCATTGCTATGCCGTATCCTTTGGAGTCGAGCGTGTTGCCGATCTCCATCAGGTTACAGTTGCGTTCTGTCTGATACTCGATGCTCGATGATTCCATGAGAAACGCATACCGGCCTTTGCCTTTAAGCACCCGGTCTACGCCCTCCTGATTGCTCTTCGTGAACACGGTCGGGTTAGACGCTTCCATCACGCTCCACATCCTCTGGTACAAACTCAAGTTCGATCTCTGTACAATATTTATACAGCTGATTTATTATTGTGTATACCTATAGGTATTATTATTATCGTTCTAGACGTGATAATCATATAATATATTATTATACATAGTCGTTGTCAGTTGTAAAATAAATAATAATAACTATAACACATGACAACGGATTTATGTGGCGTAGAGGGCGTATTATAGAGCACTGCGGCAGACCTGAAAAAAACTAGCCGTCGATCCTTCTTCGTAACAGCCGTACTGGATGTTCGATTCTTTTGACAAGTCATCGACATTCTTGATAGGTGTTTCCATACGTCCGCTGGTAATAGACGCTGTCAGGTTGGCGGTATACGACGAGGTCATGATCAGCGCGAAAAACCACCACATCCCTGCCACTAAACGCGTGGACACTGCCCTATATACGTACACAGCACAGTGGTTATGAAACATTTTATGGTATTATATTGTTTTTACTACAGTATTAGGTAATTAAAAAAAAATATTATCGTATATAATACAAACGACAATATTGTTATTGCTGCAGAGAAACAGCGACATTGCACTGACATAAAATATTAAAGTAGGTATATGGGTGTATGAATGATGTGATGCGATTACGATGAAGCACATGTAGGTAATTCACAAACATTTAGTCAACATTAAGTATTATAATTAACTTTCTTCACTCTAATGTATAGGTACATGTTTTAAAAAGATTTAATGAAATGAAAATCGTTATGATATTAGAAAATATTAGAATACAAATGTATGATATATTATTATTATAAGTCTTTTAATATAATAACAGTAGGCCTTTAGTTGTAAGACTTTTGGAATTTTCTAAACTTATTATTAAGATGAATTCCACGCGGACTGTGCAGGTTAAAATGTTAAATGTTAAAAGACGATAGTTTGACACGCTTTTGCGTCACAATAATTTATAAAGCAATCATACAAGTATTGAATAAAAATTAATCACCTAAGTAAAATAGTTATAGACTAAGTCAAATACCGAAGATTATAATACATATCAATACGATATATATCGTATATTATAATGTATAAAAATGAAATGCTTTTTGTTTAGCACATAATTTTAAAACGATTGGGCTTATTTTTTAAAAAAAATTTTAATAGCCGAACATGGTTTTTTCAGGCTTAGGCCGAAGAAAGGGTCAAACCGTATAGGTATAAGCTTGTATCTCCTATTCAAGTCGCTATAAAGTATATTATTATATTATACTCGAGGTAATCGTACAAACCACGTGATATGTATTGAAACATAAAAGATTTTTAAATTTTGTTTTAATTTTTAAGGATAAATAGGTACTTACTGATAATTGTAGTAAAATACATGAATAGCATTTAATTATGCTCTTAAACATAAACAAAAAAAAAAAAAAAAAATGGTAATTCAAAAACGCATTATAATTTGTGTACAGTTTATGTACGCCGTCATTAAGAGCCGTTTGGTTCATGAAAATTTTTTTTTGTTAAAAAATATAAACTAATATACTAATTAAGAATATATAATATAAATACAGTAAACTCTTGTCATGTCGAATCTCAAAGGGAACAGAAAAATTCCGAGATATCATCAAGTCTCGTCGTGAAGGCAGTAAGTTTCAAGTGGATTTTAATTTAGTTCGACATAATAAGAATCTACCGTCGGTATATATGTACATAAAACCACCGTGCTAGGTTCGCGTGTTGTTGCCTTACTGAGGTGATATATCGGAACCCTGTTGCAACATGGTGCCGCAACTGAACCATATCAAATTAGCCACATTAAGCCTAGTCTCAAGCTCGTTGTTACCGTCTTTCCACGGCTGTGGATCGTGCCATTCGTTGGGTGTGATTCTGCAAACAAGCAACGGGGATAGATAACATTCAAACGGTTGTGCCGCTGGTTTTCGTTTGCGAGCACACGCTGCTGTTGCAGCCTCAGCGTCGTATCATACAGACCATAGTCGCCGTAATATTAGGTATAATTATTGTATAATATTAAACGCAAGTATTACATATTATCATTATGATAGGTTTAGGGCACGCGTTATTGTACAATATGTATAATGTATATCATATATGTATGTATATTGTCATGCGTATTGATTCTAAACGAATAATAACTACGAATACAAGTAGCGCATTAATAATGTGTATAGCTCGGTCAGTGGCATATATTTATAGTGAGTGGTGGGTTACACAGCAGACAGAATAATAATAATTATGTGCATAATTTATCTAATTTCGTTATGTTATTACGCCGACGTATAATATCATTTTATTCGGGGGTATTTTTTTTTAATTGAGTAAAGGATTTAATACTACTACACTCGTTTATGAAAAATTTAAATTAAAAAGTAATTATTTTCAAACATGCATATGCAGGAATGCAGGGCGTACCTAAGGGGGACGGGGGGTTCGGGTCCGGACCCCCATTGAAATTTCTACATTTACACAATTAATAGTAAATAGTATAATAAGAGATGGTTTACAGTGTATTTTAATTTCCCATTATTTTCAATATACAAAGTTTATAGATTATAATATATTATAATGTACAAACCGTGTTTAATTTATACCAACAATCAGGTACGACTGCAATTGTCTTATTCTGAGCAGATACCACGAACTGATTAGATAAATCAATTGCTGTAACATAATTAGTAAATCTCCAGAAGAATACTTCAAAATATCAATATTTACACCATATTTGGAATACTTTACAGATCAAATAAATAGTCGTTTTATTGAACACAAATTGGTTTTAAAAGGTTTTAAAATGTTATTTAAAAATGAATTGGACAATAATAACAACGACATTTTACAATTGAAAGATTTTTAGAAAAGATTCAGATAATTTAAGTGAACCTGATATTGTAATAGCAGAAATTAAGATGTGGAAAAATGTCTTAAAAAAAACTGAAAAAGATCAAAAGCCAAAAACTGTAATACAATTTCTACAATTTTGTGATGAAGACTTGTTCCCAAATATATGCAGGTTAATAAAAATATTATGTATATTACCGGTTACGACATGTACATCTGAGAGAAGTTTCTCATCATTAAGAAATCTTAAAACATATCTCAGAAATACTGTATCAGAAGACAGACTAAATGGACTTGCGATGCTTAATATTCATCGAAATGAAATCTTAATACCAGATGATATAACTGAGGAGCTTGTAAAAAAAAACAGGAGATTAAAATTTTAAAATAATTATATAGTTATAATAATATAATTTGACACAACATTTTTTTTTTAAATTAAACTCAACCCTTTAAGTTTATTCTTTTAAGAATAAAATTTTATTTTTTTAAACAATTTTGCTTTTAAGGTTTTTTCTGAGAAATGTTGACATATGTATTATATTATATATTCTGCTATTATTGAGGAAAATTTAATAATTAATATGCCACTGATATAGCAGCGGCTGATTATGACAATGAAAACTCGTAGCGCACTCAAACCATAAAACTACACACACAAACTGACAAGCAATGCAAACTGCACAATTATTTAGGCATATAAGTCATACAGTATATACTATTATGTTAATTAGGTGATTGGAAAGTCAGTAACCTATTAATTCGTAATGTAGTGTGGAATTGTATGTAATATTTATTACATGAGTCTGTGGGCAATCTTTAATCATGATTTATCAAAAAAAAAAGTCTCAAATATTTTTGATTTTTTAAAAATGGGTTACTATGACTTTCTAATTAATTAACACATTATACATAAATATGTATATAAATATGAAAGTCACACAATATGTAGCTGTATAGAGTGGCATAGTAGGTTCTATTAAATAACTTTACTGCAGAAATTGAAAAAAATCACGATCTGCCACTCTGTATAGGTATAATGTATTATTCAAGGTATAATACGTATGTTAAACAGGTCGTAAAACACGATATGTATATTATTAATAATTATGTATATTTTAGTGGCATAGTGCAGTTGCAGTATATATCACGCGTGCAACCATCGGCAAATATAGGTTTGCGCTCACTTGGGTAGAATTTCGCATCCGGCACACAGTACGGAACCGATAGAAAACCACAGACAGTTGAGCAGCGTCATCGAATTCTCCATGGTGTTGTCTCCAGGCTTGATCGGGTGCGGGAGTTCCCATTCGAACGGTGTCATTCTGAAAACAGTTCCACAACGGTCTGGGCCAACTGCGGTAGGTACCTACCCATACGCCCCTAATATATACCAATATACCTAAAATATATAGTAGTCCACGGCGTTTCCCGTGGTCATAATAATATGTATGTAGGACATGTAGGTACTAGGTACTAATATATACATTTGCCTAGGCCTCGCTTATTACCTATATGTTATTGTTTATTGTTTTAGATTTAATGCTTTATATATATATATAAAATAATATAACAACACGGACGAATTGTAAATATGTTTAGATTTAATAGTATATTTACACGGGATGTTAGTCGTCTACAGAAAATACTATTGTTGTTCGACGATGTTATGGAAAAAAACTCAATTCAACCCGCCTAAATCGATGACTATTAAGCGAAATAATAATAACAATATTTATTTAATATTATATTCATAGGCGAAAATCGGGCGAGGTTTTGATAACCCCAAATGTGGGGAGGGTTTGATATGGAAGGTATTAGGAGTATAGGAACTGCGAATTTCAAGATATAGCCATAGTTACACGATTATTTTACAAAAGTAATTTTAAGAGAAAACAAATTAAAAAGTTTATAGAAATGACATTAATTATTATTCCTGTATATTTTGGTTCATAAAAGTAGCAATTTTTTAATTTGATTTTTTTTCTAAGTGGTCCTAATGCTTTTCAGCCATCTCTGTTAAAAGTAGGTGATCGCATTTATAACTTCTAAAACTACTGTTTGTAAAGTCGCTAAAATTTCAAAACTTCATACCATATAATTTAATAATTGTATTTATTAATTTATTTAATAGGACAAGAATCCAGTCCAGATCAAATGGAATGAATTTTAAAATTTCTTTAAAATAATCTTAAATGGGTAAAACTATTAAAACTGATTTTTTTTAATAAAAAAATTATTTTTCAGTTTTATAACACTTAATTGTCAGCTTAATGTTTTAACTTACGAATTTACTTTGGATAAATTTTATTTTTGATTAACCGGATTAACCTGATATTTGGGCTATAGCGAGGTCCAAATTCATGAGTTTTTCTGTATATGATATATATAACTGATATAAGTTTCTTATTATTGGACTGTTTACTACAATTTATAAGACAGCTAGCGTACATCAGCTAGTGATTTACGTAGGTATTTTGAATAAGGGTTTTTTTATTTAAATAGTTATTATAAGTTATAATAAGTGGTATTAATAACAAATACATGTCGTAAGCTATACGAATAATTAGTTTTTTTGCGAAAAGACTAGGCTCTTTGCAATAGCCAATAGGGTAGCCCGTTTGCGGACTACTTATTATTTTTCCAAACAGCCTGCTGTTTTTTAGGCTCATTGCATACAGACTAACAGCAGTTAGACCTTTTAAAAATTACAATAATTTTATGGTAATGACTATTTGACTATTTGTTGGTTTTTTTGAAAAATAATACGTTGTTCGCAAACAGGCTACCGCAATGCAAAGAGCATAGTCTTTTCGCAAAAAAATTAATTATCCATATGGCCTATGACATATTATATATGTATGCGTTTACTGATAGTTCTGTTAATATTTTAGTTATTTAAAAAATTAAAATCTTTACGTGTGGTGCACATGGCACTATAGACATATTAAATATACACATTTTGAAACAAATGGTCATCTTACAAATGGTTATCTAATGCATAAAGATTGTGTGCTTTATTCTTCGTGGTAAAATCATTCTTAAGCTTTATTGCAACCGAGGATTGAACGCAAGATCTCCTACCCTTCCCACGGAAGAAATATTAAACAATTTTCGCCTATGAATATACGATTATAGGTATTATTTTTAGATTCGGCATAAAATAATCACATTATTACATTAAATTATATACATAATACATCATATATGTATATATAAGAATATATATATATAGATGGTTTATACACACTGTGTCGCGATACACGTCAGTGGTAAATGGGTTACCCGATGGCGGACTATGACCGTTATGATGCGTTAAGGCCAGCGGCGCGGTTTCTGTCTGCAAACTGTTTAAATAAACACGATTTTTTTTTGCTCCTCACTTACCTGGCCAACATAAACAAGAATAAAGACACGCCTAGGTACGCGGTCGCTGTGTACATCCAGACGCTGAACGACAGTGGGTTCAGGAACCAAAATAGTTGTGGTTTCTTCTTTTCCGGTTTCGCGTACAGTATGCTTATGCCCAACGTCATGAATGGCGTTGTGAAGTCCACCGCGCTCCGCCGGTCGAAAGTGATCGTAAGGTCACATATCGCTAGATCCGCTCGCTGCAGTGTCCCACACGACCAACGAAAAAGTGAAAAATCAAATAGTCATTCGCGCGTATCGCATAGTATGTAGGAGTACACCTTATAGTCATCACTCATCAGTCATTACGTATAAGTCGTACAGGTCCTCGTCATGTGCGGTATACGTGTTTAGACGAGCGTGACGATAATCGCACATAAATCCTCGAACAGAAGGTACTTAAGTTGCCGATAGAACGGTTTTTGTGTTTTTCATAAAAAAAAAATAAAAATATTTTTCATATTTGCTTTGAAATATGATATAGATAATATAAATAATTTTGAAAATTTTAAACTAAAATATTTTTCTTTTCTTTTTTAGAAATAACAATTTACCGAGATAATAATCGAATGTCTCTTGTTTAAAAAATCATTCTATATGAATAGTTTTGTAACTTTTTTTAAGGAAAATTTATACACGATCGGTAGTAAGTATTGTCGAGTGCGGGTCAAAGTATAACTAGGCATAGAGTTATACTTATTATTATAATATGTCGACTATATTTTATATATAACGTAATCGCCCATCACAGATATTAGATATATTATCAAATAATTGTATTATGTTTATATAGCTCACCATGGACTGCAGCTCTCCAATTATACCGTTCCACTTGCCGGTCTTTTGCATGGCTCCGTAATCCTGATTTGTGGTAAATTTGAATTTAAATCCATTGTATTTGGCCATTTCCTCGACCAAGTCATACGCGAAACCTTCAAAACACTCTTCATCTTTGTCCAATCCCTTTTCTGTGCTATTGCATCTCATCAGATATGGTTGAACCTGTTTTTATTTAATGAGTTATTTTTTGGTTCTGAATTTTCGACCATGTTATTATGTAATAAGCGTTGTGAACTTAAAATTATGTTTTATATTCCACCAACCCAAATCCCGATAAAATCATTGACTATATTATTAACAATAACGTCATACTAAATAATAAAACACTAGTTAATATACTAAATTATAAATACAGTCACCTGCTTGTCACCTTTAAAAAAAATTAATCATCCGTTTATCTCTTTCGCTAACGCCACTGATACGAACAGAATGATCCATTTAATATAAGACATTTATTGTTTCAAAAACCACTAATGTTTTTAAAAATATTTCATTAACATAAATTTAAGTCCTCATAAAATATTTTCTATATTTTATTATTATTTTTTAAATGTCTTATATTTGTTAGTAACAACATAAATTTTTAATATCTTTTCCACAGCATAATACTTAATGTATGGTTAAAAATCGAATTTTTTTTAAGAAGATTAAGAGTTAAGTACTTACCTATGTAAAGTTATGAATTAACAGAGTGCAATTGAATACAATGGTACACCATAAAATATTGATCAACTACTTCTCCGTTCATCTAAGATTTAAATACTAATAAGTTAAGTTATAAATTATAACTAATAGACTATTTGTCTAAAATATTAACTAGTAATAAATATTCCAAATAATATTTTGCTTAGGAATATGAAATTAAAAATGTTTATTATAATTTAAAAGAATAAAAATAATAACATTAAAAAATGTTAAGATTATAATATGTAAAAGAAATATTTTTAAAAACGTTATAGTGTTTCTGTAATGATGAGCGCCTTACGTTTATTAAACCTCTCTCCGTATATTAACATAGTGTACACGTTATACGTTTTTCTTGACGTACCGTGAGATAATAATATTATATATACTCACTAATTTACCGACGACAATAAACGTCTTGTTCGAAATCGACTGGGCGAATTCTGAGTTCATTTCCGATGCCGATCTTGTCAGCGTCATTCCCTCAATCGGATCCCAAGACCCCAAACGATGTTTTTTACTCTCTTGCACTCGGACCACGTCCACTTTGAAGTAATTTCTGTTGCCTGTTTCTGCGTCAAATCTCATTTTTCCAGTCAATCCGTTCAACTCCATCTGCAGATCGTTAACCACAATGTCAATGTATAATAGTAAACACTGAAACTCCAGGAAAGTATATTCCAATAAAACAATACAATTTTATCTCACCACTCGCATATAATTGATTAGACTGTATCCGTGTACCCACGGTTTTATGTCGTCGCAAGCAATTCTTGTTGGCCCCATAGTTTGTGTTGCCACTAAACCATGGAGCGACGTTGCGAAAAAGTTTACCGCGTCATATATCAACGCAGTTTTTGTCTGCAAATGAAAAATTAAATAATTATGTATTATTTTAAGTATTAATGCACGGAAATGTCTAATAGCACCTTCATCTATATATGGTATAATTATATATTTTTCGGGTAAATTCGTATATTTTCAGTGTCTATCTCGATTCTCGGATACCTAACGGTTATCATGTTTTTTGGACGTATGCCAAAATTAGTCATAATATTATTATTATAATTCTGTTCATATATTTAAAATTCTAAGTGAAGCGGATAGCTATTGGTTTTTCTATAACATGGTGTGTAGTCCTATGATTTTTGAATGAAATTAGCTTAAAAAATTCATATAAACATATGCAATAGTTTCAAACTTTCATATGAATAAAAAAAATCAAAACAAAAGAATTTTTTTGAAACTATTAAAAAATGTTAAAGAATTACTGTAAGCAATAAGTTCGCTTAATTTTTTTTACAATAGAATCTTAAAGGCGTTTTGTAACTTAATGACTAATTCCTTTTATTAGAATGTTTTCTAAATCACGTAAAAAAAATAAAACTTTACACAAGAATACCCTCATAAAGAATGTCTTGAAATTGTTTTAAAATATTTAACGAAACTATTTTGGCCAGTGTATTTAGGTAATACACTAATACCTATTCAAAAACTTTCTAAAAGTATTTGAAATACATTTTAAGCAAAGGTGAGCAAGTTAATGAAAATATTTAACTCAAGTTTAGTTAAGTTAAAAGAACACAAGATCGATTTAAGTTAGAAGTTAATCGTTAACAAATTATAAATTTAACTCGATAAATTAATATTTAATATAGAAAAAATATACTAACTTAACTCAGTTTAAAAAAAGTTAATCTATTTTTTTTAATTAGTACCTATGTTAATTACATAAAAAATGACTACCTATGTATTTCTAATTTACTAAATTATAAAAAACAATTTTATTTTATTTTTATCATAATGCACATTATTGTAAAGTATAAATATCTTTTTACGTTACGCATGATATATTATTTATTAATTTAAACTATACACATCTCAAATTAATAATTTAACAAATATTATTTTTTTATATAATATAGCAATTTTTTAATATTAAAACAATACAATTTATTATTCATAATTTTACTAAAAAAGTTTCTAATATCAACTGCAAAAAGCTAAGTTATTTTAATTATCAATTAAACTCCTTAAGTTCATAAGTTGATAAGAAAATAAACTAACTAGTTAAGTTAAAAAGTTAAAAAAAATTAACTTTTTAACTAGTTAATGTCCACCTTTGATTATAATTTATGTTTTTAAGTTCAGATTACATTTCAGTATACAATTTTATGTTCGATATGTTAAATCGTTATTTGTATTTACAATATAACTAATAATTCTATAGACCACGGAATTAAGTTTTTATATCTCAACATTATAAATGATACATTAAAACAATACATTTTTTATTGCTTAAATAAATAAATAAAATTAACAATCAGAAAATATAATTTTAAGTAGACATTCAATACAAATAATCGATAGGCAGATTTTGAATTTGATGACAAAAGTATTTGCATTTTCAAACTTACAAATAGTACTTTACGATATTATCGGTAAGTATTTTGCTACCTATAGTAGTATTAAAGTATCTACTTAGTAAATATATTATTATATTATACACATGCTTACTTTTATCGTATTTGGCGATAAATCACTGATCCGTCCGCTTTTCTGTTCATTGAACACAATTTCCTCAACGGCGTTTCTAACGTGCTGACTTTCTGGATCAATTAATCTGATTAACGTTATATTGGCCATTGATTTATGGAATTCGTCAAAACTTAAGGTATGCGCATCCTGAAATGAAACAAAATTATAAACATTATTATAATTCCATTGTATAATACGATAGCAATAAATAAAGGTAATTTATGTGATATTTTTCGGAATATATCCATCTCACTCACTAAATTTGTGATAACGTAGCTCTGGTAATCTCCCATAAAGTGGACTTCTTCCGCTTGTCCCAATATGTGCGTGATATGTTCGACTTCATAGTCTAATATAATGTGTTTTTCACCGGACAACTTTAATTCCTTAAACAACGGCCTGTAATGTATTATTATTATTATTATTGTTATTATTTGTAAATACATCATTGATGTATCAATGATTATAGATAGTGAGACCATTATGTCTCTTTATAGATTACCGAAAATCGTGTGTTGGTGGAATTTGAATAATTTTAATTGATTTTCCCGGAGCTTTTTGTCCATAATCAAAGTGCGTCAACAGAGCTTTGAGTCTAATCAAGCTTTCAGGACTTTGATAGATTACAGTGAAAGACTCCCAATCCATATCCAATATTATATCTCTTATAGCCTGCACACATTTTGAATCGTTAGAACTAAGCGGTGGTTTTACATTAATACTAAATCCTCAAGAAGAAGGTACAATTAATTTATATTTTTTAACATACTTAGATAGCCTGAGGACAATTATATAATACCTTATTTTCCTATTAAAAGTTTAAATAAAAAAATGATATGATTCAGCTTCTGGTGGCATTGATGCCTTTGAAGGTTACACTAATCGTATCGTTATTCGTTATACATATATATGACTAGTATATATCGTGTAATAATTATTATTGTCGATTTTGGACGTATAAAATGTATAATAAATACCTGTGCTAAAAGTGACGGATCAGGATAAATATTGATGGAGTAAGGATCGGGAGGTCGGTGAACTTTTTTCCAATGTGTTTCTATAAATGGTATTTGTGTACGGGTGCTAATAGATCTGACCACATTTTCAACGTCTTCGTCATCTGTTCCATCAATAAACGCAGCGATTCCGAGTTTCAATGTGTCGCATACTTTTATAGGTAGTTACCATAAAATTTTCCGTGTGTATTCATAGTGCGTATAATAGAAAAACAAACAGACAAAAAAAAAAATTAAATTTTTATATAATACATTTTGGTTTTGTTTATTTATTTATTAATAAAATTATGTATTTGTAGTATGCATTAGATTTAATAGGTTTTCTAAAGTTAAAATTATTTTATATATAGGTACTTTTTTTTGGAACATTGTATTGTATACTTTCAATAAAGTACCTATATCTAAATAAATTTACATGATAAATAGTTATTATATAACTATTAATCATTTATAAGAGTTAACCTATGTTTATAATAAGTAGATATATTGGTACCTATTCATTCAATCTATTTATTATGGTACAATAATTGAATGATAATATTAGTATAGATATATTATACATTTTAACATTTACAAGGAGTCGTTATATCATTTATTTATTTATTTATTTCCTTACCAACACGTGACACGTTATACATGTCGTTTATGACGTATTCAGATCTTTGAACGATTCTGTTTTTAGGTAACACCGTGTCCATAATATTAATTATTTTTGCGCTCACGTTGTATGCCAACTGATTGACGGAATCATCGTTCTCGTTAAACAATGCAACTGTAACAAAACAAAATGTTTTACCAGTAATATAATATATAATCTATAGATATAGGTACTGCAGTTTTTGAGGTTGAACACAATGTACTAAAACGAAAACGTATTGATTAATAAATAATACGTATTAGCATAATTTATTATCGATGTGATGAATTTGTACGAAGGTTTTAGAAATCTAAGTAAAATCAATAAACGTACTTTACAATTAGGGTTCGGGTTTTATAGCAAAATAAATCTTTAAAAAGCATTTTAAGTAGCCATAAAAAGCATTTATTAAATTTAATTTTAAAAAATAAATTTAAATTACACGCTAAAATAAATATTAAAAAAGGAATTTTTTTTCCGTTTTAAACCGACAGCAGAGAAGAATCTGTGTGAACAATACTACTCCTCTACTGACCGAAAAAAGGAATTTACGACCGTGTATTTGGTCAATAAGTTACTTTCGTTAAAACTTATTTTATTAGATGACGGACTTTAATACATTTTTACACATGACCTTTTCACAAAAACTGAAGTAATTGGTGTATATTTCATATAAACTAAATCATTTACATCATATTGTTCCATATTTAAGTTTAGTGCAGTTCCATTATTAATGCTATTGATTTTTTAAAGTTTTACCCATCCATTATACTTTGAAAAAAAAAAAAACACGATTTCTAAAATCAATTTCGCTACTTTACGTCTTTACCATTATAGCTTCCTTTAACTTGTGTTTTGCTTAGTATATAATTATAATTTCTGGCAATAATTACATAGATTAAGTATAATATATATATATATATGTTAAAATTTCATAAAGATTATGTATAAATTAAGATTAGAAATCAAAATAAATTTACTTAATTGAAATCAAAACGATTCAAAATGTATTTATACATAAGAATTATCTTTTTATCACACTAAATCTGCAGAAGAAGCATTTGTTACAAAAATCCTAGTCTTACTTATTACAAATTATTATAGTAGTATAGATTAATAATAGACAATATCATACTAGATAGTTGTACAAACCCATAATAAACGCTTAAAAAAAGTACAACAAAGGCCCATAATTGATTTAGGATATGATCTATTGGAATAATTGAGAAGAATAGCTCAAATTTTCTTTTAATTACACGGTACCTAATAGCTTAATTTTTTTTTTACATTAAATAGAACATTTTTTTAATATTTATAATTATACCTTCGAGAATTTTTTGACCATTATATCACTCATATCCATTTATTATAGGTATTAACGAGGTCAAGTTGGTAAATATTTGGAAGACGCCCTTCTGGTTCCCCCTAACGTCAGTGTATACAATATTTACCTATATAATAACTATGATAATAATTATTCTGACGAAAACATCAGTAAAATGTTATGCAGAAAAAGACCAACCGATTTTTACGATTTTGTTCCCAGCCAATGGTTTGATGTTGTCTTCGGAAGCCGCCGCGAGCAGTAGCACCGCGATCGACATACATAGCGTGACGATGTTCGTATACATATTTCTACCATATGGTTCAGAACTCGGAAGCACACTGCACACTGAACAAGAATGAAATATATTTATTTCCTCCTACACTCCAGTGAGAGCCAGGGACACACGAGGCGATAATTTTAGACGATAGCCGCTGCCGCCGTCGCATACACACGCTCATCAGTTATTTCCTCCTATTCATTAGACATAAGTTTTTGACGATTTTCGGGCATCGAGCCAACTGTCATGCGCACAGTTGTCACGCTTAAGTCTAAAACAGTAATTTGTACCGTTTTAATACTCAGTGGTAGCGAGTTAAGTTATTTATTATATCTCGCAGGAATATCAAAATTATGCTAGATGAAGTAATTGTTGAGGAAAGTCTAAAAAATCAAGTAAATAGGTAACTACTCAGCTGTATACCCTTACAGTTGTAGGTGTCGGGTGTTCTGCATTGTTAAGTAGGTCACTGTAATAGACGTGTTAGATTTTAATTTGTTGTTTCGTTGCATATAAAAAACGATTCTAAGCGGTTACGGTCTATCGTCACTTGTTAACCTATAGTACTAGAAGTATACTTTATCAAATGTCTATAAATCTATAAGTAGTTTAAAAAAAGGCAAAATATTTAAAAAAATTTATCAAATATAAAAATACGTAAAAATAATTAACTAAAAAACTAAAAGTAACTATAGTTATTCGTTTTTGATTTACACAAAAAAAAAAAATGTATCGATTTTATAGTGTTGTGATTTTTTGTAAGAATGTTCGTCTTCTTAAATTATTTTTCTCAGTTACTTTGAAAAGTATGGGAACATTTTTTAACTTTTGTCTTATCCTTCAAATTATCAATAAGATCCAATTTTCCACTAGAAATTACCTCCAAATCTACAAATTCTTACCCAAAAATAATTAGGATAAAAAAAAAAATAATAAAAAAATAAAAAAAAAAATATATATATATATATATATATATACACTTTATTGGAAATAAATACACTCAGAACCTAGACATCATTATATTTTGCCTGTGAATATCCAATTAAGTACGTTTAAATTTAAATTTTAGACACGTCCAAAAAACATATTTATGGAATTACACTAATTTTTTTAGTGCTATTCTAATCAAAACTTAAATGGAACCTTTTATTATATTTGGCTACCCTGTATTATACCTTATAGTTATGAATATAATGTTCTTCAGTCTTTGTTTACATAATTTTTAAATCAATCAAATTAATTTTGAAAATATGAGCAAAGAAATAAATTAAGCTTTCTATTTTGAAACGTTGTAAAATCCATTTAGTTAATATTTTAACATATATCAATGTTATTTTTGTTTTGGAAACTTATTTATAAACTATTTGCCTCAAAATACACATGATTGTAAAATAAAATTAACAATAAATAAAATAATATTCATAGTTGATCATAATTGATCAACATCCTATGAATCAGCACTTATTATTGAAAATGTTTTGAAGTTAAGTAAGATAGGAACATGAAAATATAGAATTATAGATTATATATATATGATTAAGATTCAACAGTTGTGATAAATAGATTGGTTAACAAATCATAAAGGCATTAACTAAATGTATAATCAACAAGAATATAGTTTAAAGATTCAAATACCACAATCAATTTTGTAAATCTTATTTTGACGCAAAATGTATAATTTTTTTTCTTAATTTAAAAATAAAAACTTACTCCACTAATACAGTACACAATAAAAAATGTGTTTTGTATTATTATTATCAAATGTAACTACTTTCTACAGTATTATGACATTGATATATAATAAAAGTACACACACACACACACATAAATTTAGTCTTCTGAAGATGGTTCGTCCGAATATGTAGTGTGTCTGACTGGTTTAGTCGAATAATGACATTTAAGCACAAATTTTAGCTCCAACTTGAACGCGTCCCATGGCGATAACTGTAAAAATATTATAATAATAGACAATATAGTACTTATTTTATTATATATGTATATCTTTTAATATAGAATGCGGTAATTAAGGAGAGGGAAACGGTATTTGATTTAAGGCAATAGCCGATAGTCTTGTTGGTGATAAATGATAATGCACAACTATTTTTTTAATTTTGAGAAGCTGTACACAGTAGTTTTGTGTACTGGAATTATTATCAGTGATAGTTATTACTGATAATTAAATAATTTTCTAAATTATTTGATATGTTATACTTTTACAGTTACCTTATATCAGACGTGTTTATTGTTGTAATTTAATTTATTCGGCTTAATTAATAATCTAAAACGACACCATTGATTAAGTATTATTATTATATTTGGTTATATGGACCGGTTAAATTTGCTTTTCCTACTCTATGAAGAATTAAAATGAAGTAACTAAATTAATATATAGGAATATAAAAGATGTTTTTAGAATATTTATGAATTATATGATCAATATCTATAAAAGTAAATATATATTAAAATGTTCATTCTTGATCTCAAAAACGATAAATATTCTGTCTATAAATTTAACAATCAATGAAATTAGAATAAATGTTTAAATAATTTCAGTTTTAAATGATAAATAAAAGAATCATTGGTAATTGGTTTTTGCCTACTCTCTTTATTATATTGTATAATAGCAATCATATTAGTGTATACAATCGTTCAACTATGAAACAAAAATGTATAATATTACTTTTTCTGTGACTGCCACTTTCCGAATGTTCCATAAGAATTCCAATAAAGAGAATATTAATCCTAACAAACACCCCAAAATAAGAATGACAAACATCCCTCCCACTTCGTTTACGTCTAATTCTGCCGAATCTTTTTTAGGTACCTAAAACATGATCCATTTAAATAATATTATTCAACATTATTAATCAAATTTATAAAAAAGTATTACTGGACACATTTTTTCTTCGGATACCGACCACCATTTGTCTTTTAATTCCATTAGCTTTCCAGACTCGGAAAGTTTTAATAACGCCATACTGACTGCCGTTCTGTGTGGAGCATCTAAAAAAATATATATTATATAATCATAGATAAATTGCATCATTAAAATCTTAAAATCAAAAAATATAATATCTACTGTTATTAATTAATTAGATTAAAACTTAAATAAACTAACATATTATATTTTAATGAGTTTCCTTATGATTATGAATGATAAATTAATTTATGGTTTGCTAGTAATATTTAAGTATTGATTTAAATATTTTTATAATTAAATTCTTTGAATTAATAATTAAAGAAATATAAATTTGGTACCTAAATGGTTATAATTGTATTACAAAAATTGTTTTAAGCGTGCCACAGATTAAAATACATTTGGCAGTTACTTACTAAAAGGCATTGCGATTCCATATGCTTTGTTATCCAACCAGCTTCCTACTTCTGTCAAATCACAATTTCTCTGGACTTCATACTCAATTGTACTGGATTCCATGAAAAACGCATATGCTTCTCTTTCTTTTTTCACTCGATCCACACCTTGTTTGTTGTCAAACATCATCACTGTGTCACCATATGTTTCCATTACGCTAAACATTTTTTGATAAAGATTCACGTCAGAGTTCTAAATCAAAAACATTCATACAAAATCTAAAGAAATGAATAATAATTGGTATGTAAATAACAAATTTAATATAACCTCAAAAAAACTAGCAGTAGATTGCCCTCTAACACATCCATATTTGATGGCCGATTGTTTGTCAAGATCCTCAACTCGTTTGATTGCAGACTCTTTTCTACTCGATGTTAAAAACGCGGTCCAATTAGCAGTGTATGATTGAGTAACAATTAATGCAAAAAACCACCACATAGATGCGCACACTCTGGTTGAAAAAGCTCTAGAAATTTTTTTGAAACCATTTAGTCATATTTGTAACACAGAATAAAAATAATGTATTACTCAGAGGCATACTTAGGATTTTGTCAAGAAGGGTGATATACATTGGCAAACATAATTTCCTCGTTGGAAAAGGTTTTATGCTTACTAACACTACTACTACTGTTTTTCAAGAATGTTGAGGGTTGATATAATCAGTAAGTACACACATACAGTTAACTTTTAAATAAAATAAAAAATAACAATAAAAGTTTGTAAATACTCAAACTTTCGAATATTCATACATTAAACATAACCATAAATTAATGACAACAGTCTGAATAGTGCACTAATGCAAGTATACGACTTTAATGAGTAGTGAGTGTGCTAGAATAAAAATAAAGTTATGCAATAATAAATTATGAAAATAACTCGTATTTTAGTGTTTTATCTGTATTCTGTTGTATTATTGGAATTATTTAAAATTTTGAACGAAAATATATTTGTATATAATATGTATATATATTTTATATTACAATATTTATTATAGCTTACAATATATATACCGATCAATACATGTCCTAACTCTTTAATGTATTTTAATGTATTAAAACAAAAAGTATTACTAGACAGGTTACTGAATATTCAAACATTGCATAATGTTTATCGTTTTCTACGGATCCACGAGCCTTAAAACAGCAATCAAACACTTGTCATTAGAAGCATGGTTCACGATTGACAATATTTTACGACATAAAACCTTTTTTAATTATATTGTATGAAGGATGGGCATTGACTATAATATTTTCAGATGCTAAATATATCAATATCCAATATTGTAATAAAGAGTAGCATTTTTGATAACTTTATTTTGCATTTTTGTATTATTATCTTATACCACCACAAGTTTACTTATAAATAAATACCAAGAAATGATTTATCCCCTATACCAATCCGTCGGCGCAAAAATAGTTAGAATACCTATTATAAATTATAATTCTTTAAAATAACAGTGTAATTAAATTGCCTATAAAAACGCCGTGTGATTGACGTTTTAGTATTTGAAATGTATTATTACAATGATATGGAAATTAGATGAAATCCAATTAAAGTACCTAACCTATATTGGAACAAAAAAAGGAAAGTCACATTGAGTTTTATTAAATTTTATAAGAAAAGATTATAACATACATTAATGGTATTAATGGTGCAATCTAAGTTAATTGATTGGATTTTTTTTGGGAGAGAGTTAGGGGTTAAAATGGAAGGAAGGTAGTATAATCGAGAAATTTATTTTCAATATTTTGAATTTTTAATAACATACATTTAAATATCATAATACATCTATAATACATCTTAATTATTATTTATTATCTATAGAATAGTAAATTAAAGAAGTAGCTAGTGACAACTGATGTATGTATATAACTAGATAGGTAACAATTAGAATATTATAATATTATAATTATAATATATATAATATTATAATTACCTGTATAAATAATAATATATACAAACATAAATTATTATAGCACCTTAGAAATTTGTTCAAATGATTAATATCATCGAAATTTTATGTCTAATATGTGCGTACATATATGTTATTATTTGATTATTTACATACTATTTACCTAGGCAATACTTCACTCCCTTGGCATAATATAGAGCCCAAAGAAAACCATAAACAATTTATTAAGGATAATGAGTTCTCGAGTTCTTCAGGCTCTGTTGCACACGGATGAGGATTTTGCCACTCGTTAGGAGTAATCCTAAAAACGACAATAAATTAGTTATGTCTTATACTTTTGAAACACAATATTTTTTTAAAAATATTATTCACATACTAACCTAGCTAATACATAAAGAACAATTGATAGACCTAAGTACGCAGTTGCCGTGTATATCCATACGTGAAATGATAAGGGTTGGGTGAAAGAGAATAAATTCGTTTCTGGTTCTTTTGGTTTACTGAATAAAATGCTGATTCCTATTATTTTAAGTTTATTATTTAATAATTATTATTATTGGTCACAGCTCACAAATTAAAATGTTTAAAATGATTTAGAAGCTAGGTGAGCATTCATAGTATTATATATAGCTTTACCTAAATTCATAAAAGGAGTAGTAAAATCAACCGCGGTTCTTCTGTCATGTGTAATAGTCAGATCACAAACAGCTAAATCAGCTCTCTATAAACAACAACAAAAAAAAAAAAAACATTAGATATTTATCTTAAAAAAATACTTAAATCTCGATTACATAATATAAAAACTTGAAAAAATAAAAAATCTCAATAAAAATCGAACACAATTTTGTTAGATGGATTTGTGTAGTGATTAATCAAGTATATTTTACAATTATAGTACATATGAATTTTTTTTATTATATTCTTTTATTTGTTGAAAATATTCATCAACAAAATTAGAAATAATATTAGTTTACGAAATGATATTTAATTATTTCGAAATTCAAAATAATATAGGTACTTACACAATAATTTTATGACCTGCAATTGAATTTAAAAAAACACGATTCCAAAATAATTTAAAAATAAATAAAATAAACTAAATTACCTACTTTAAATTAATACTTTAAATATTCGATACTATTAAAAATATTTATGTTTATAATTTATAAACATTTACTTTACATAAATACTTAACATGTGAAATTAGTATTGAATACATATAATACTATAATAGTTACCAGTTCATGTACTTCTCCGATAAGTCCGTCCCATTTTCCTGTCTTCTTGTCTTTTTTGCCGTTACCATCGTTCCGTAATTTAAACTCATATGTGATATTGATCTCTTCCGAAATCATACGTATCAAATCAACTACATATCCTTCGTACTTGTCGTTGCCAATCCGATCTTTATGATCTGTTTTCAACATCATGTACGGCTCGGTCTATATTAATATAACGTAAAAGATTAAATATTTTAGTTTCATATTTAATTTCCGGTGTACCCGTAACTAACAATTTTTGAAGCAACAATGAAAGTTTTGTTCATGTTTGCGTTCACTAGATCGTCCAGCATTTGATTTCTAGTTCTCGTGTACGACATTTCGTTTTTCGGATCCCAGACGCCGATCTTTTTGAATCCTGCATTTGTTAGCTCGACCATTTCCAACGTGAAATAATTTCTATACCCAGAATTTTTATCGAATTGTAATTTGCCCGTGAGACCGTCGACATCTACCTAAACACCAAATTGTTTTTAATCACCACAATGGTTATTTGTATTTTGCAATATCTATCCGCCATTATAATATTAAAATAATAATATGTAACGAATCCAATCTCCTACTGTTTATCAGTTATGTTTTTATAATTTATTTAAATTTCATCATTAACTTATATTAATATTACCTATGGGCTATGTTACCATATATATTAAAGTATTCTTATATTGTAACTTATAGGTGACATAGGCATGCGCAGACCTGAACAATTTTTTCGGGCCCTTTTCTTAATTTAGGCCCTCTTTTAACAAGACATGTACATATTTTAATAAATTATAATGCACGAATAAACATTATTTACATTTTTTTATTAAATATTCTTATATAAAAATAATAAATTTATAATAACATGCGCCTATTACAATAATTAAGCTCATTAATAACCAAATAATATTTGTATTACCTACTTATTAATAAATTTTACTGATACCAAGTTATAAAATATTTCATTAAATAGTTAGATCTAAAATCTATTTTTAAGATAATTGCAAAATATATTTATTATTTTTACTTTTGTAGTCAATGATATCTCATAGCTGTTATAATCACAATAAGTTTTAACGCGCAGATTTAAAATATTTTACGTTTTATTATGTTTTTTTTTGTTTCGAAATATAATTTTTTTTTTTTACTACATATTTTAGATAAAATATCATTTTTATTTTAGTAAAATTAGTTAAGATACAGACCCATAAATATGCTATAGGATTTAAATTTTAGGACCCCAATTGCATATCGGGGGGGGGGGGGGGGGCCCAGGCACACCCGGAACCCCCCGTGCGCACGCCTATGATAATTGATAGGTGACTTGATTAAAGCGACTGAACTGTAGTATTGAATCAAACCTAAACGGCTAAACAAGACATGCAATATTTATTGTTTAAATAACTTCATGTACCACTTCAATATATTAACAAGGCACTACATCATATAAAAATGTTTTTTTTTTTTTACTTTTCATTGCCCAGAATATTATTGAGGTCCAATTTTTTACAAGAAACTACCACTAAAGTTAATTATTTAACTATTTTTACTACTTCAAAATAAATAAATGTAAAACCAATACATTCATCCTTCATCGTTTAGCTCAGAATTTTAAGTTGTTTTTCCTTATTGAAATATTGTATCAGACACGCAATCATTGTTTAATTAGTGACTTACGACTCTCATGAAGTTGATAAGACTAAATCCACTGGACCATCCCGTACTCGATCTATTTGCACAACTGTTAGGTTCGGCCTTGATAACTTTTGTGCCTCCAATTCCGCGTAATGCTTTAGCGTATACATTGACTGCATCAAACATCAATAACGCGTTAACCTGATTGTGTTTAGAAGTATAATATGAAATAAAATATTTTCTTCTTGTTTGTTTAACAATGATATATAGCTATTACTGTAATAGTATTTGCTTGAAATACTTCCATATCCAAATTCATTCTCTGTTGAACGAATTCAAGATCGGCCATTATACTAATCACTGTTGGACTTGACGGATCTATTAATTTCACTGCAGTGATATTGGTACGTTTAAACTGCAAGTGACCATAATTTATGGTGTGTGCATCCTTACAAACATTAAAACGTATAATGTATCATAATTCATAAAATTCTTCCAAAATAAAGTTGTGTGCATTTTTAATAGGTACATAAAAAATCTCATTAATAGATACATAAACTAATATTATTTAATATAGCATAGTAAAATAAATATTAAACTAAGTACCTATAAATTATGTAAGCAAAATAAACCTAAGTCATTGTTTTCAAATTATAGTCCCAGTACTTAATGTTATAATTGAGAGGTTTAAAATTAAATAATTTTTAATAATTAATAAGCATTTAAATGCTACAAAATTAATTTTTTTTCAACTAACCAGAGAAGTAATAATAAAACTGTGGTAATCGTCCATTAGGCCTACATCTTCTGCTTGCTCCAATACAGTTAATATTATATCTGTATCACAATCTAGGACAATATGACTTTCTAGAGATTTTTTGACCTCTTTCAGCATTGGTCTGAAAAATCGTTTTGTTCAGCAATTAATTCTAATACCAAATGGTGCGTAGATACATTTTTCTTATAGCCTACCGGAAATCTTTATTTTCAGGTAATTTAATGATAGAAATGGCCGCTAATTCGGTATCTGACAATTTGGTCAGTCCAGAATAATCTTGGATTAAGTGCTGCAATCTTAAAAGTCCTTCGTCTCGTTGATACAACAAAGTAAAGGAAGTCCAATCCATGTCACGGACGATGGCTGTATACCCGCGACTGAGGGTCACCGGATCCGGATAGACGTTCATGTAATAGTTTGGTTGTTGTCTTGGATTCATTTTCCAATGGGTATCGATGTAAGGGATTTCTATAGAATCACATATCGATTGGACTATAGCCGATGACTCGTAGCCAGTGGAACCGAAAATAGCTCCAACGCCGGACTCGAGAGATTCGCATACTATATAGTGATAATAATTGGATAATGTGACGTATAATAGAAGTGAAAACATAGAAAAAAAAAAAAAACGATATCTACTTATATATCTACAATCTACAAAGGTAAAGATACTATAAGCTAAAGTAAATCTATAAAATTCTGAAAAGATTATAATATTTATTTTTTTGGATGTCGATAGTCCACCTAATCCAACATATAATGTAATATACGTGCAAGTTTTTATCTAATATGTGTTATAATTTATAACTTATATTTAACTATGTACTAATCTTTGCGGTGTGGATAGCCGCTTACCTTTTTTGCTAGTCTGATAACCGTCGTTGATGTCGACAATTTCAACTCGGCCCTTAAGTTTCACGCCTGAAAGTGTCGGGTCCAAGTTTACTTTATGTATGGCCAATTCAAAGGCCATTTGTTCTATGGAATTTTCGGACGGAAACAGACCCACTATGGCACACAACAATAACAATGACACGAATACGCACGATTTTCAAAACATTTATATAGTTGGTAATAGTAGGTAGACAATAGCTCATACGAGCGTTTAATAAAAATTATTCCAATTAAAATATTATTATAAGTACTCAATCGATGACTTACCGACGGTGATGCGTTCCACATCCTCCGCAGCCGCCGCACAAACCGCGAAACCAGACAATAAAAACAGGTACACTGCAGCTGCGGATTGCATGTCGCGCGCGGAATTAATGACGATTTTAATAGCTGCTCACACAAGTAGGTACATAATATTATACAGAATTATTAATTCCGTACATTATATTATACATTTTCTCGAGACACTAGCTAAACCGCTGAAAACCTATAATTAGATTGCGTACGCAAATTGTAATGGGCTGCCAGCCAGTGTCTATCCCGATTTGAAACAACAGCAATGACCCATCTACGATTATTGAAGAGGCAATCCGTAGCTGCTCGTATTTATTGCACACTACGTTATATATTATTTTTCTTTCCCACCACCTATGTGTACACGCGTGATATCTTTGGCAGCCGGGTTAAAGGTTACAGTGGTTACACGCCTGGAAAATAATAATGAATACGACATTGCGATTTTTTTAGCACGACCTTTATATTGTTGTCTTTGGAAGTCGGGCCAAACAAATATTATAATGAGCATCCTATCGGCGGCGGTATGGAGACAACAAGATGAGTATTTTTTTAATTATTTTCCAACAGTCGTCGAATTTAACATTTGTCGTTATATACATAACGGTATGTGGAGATATACCAAAATAAAAATCCAATTTTAAATGTCACAGAAATCAGTTCTATACTACAGCTATGTATTATATACTTTATACCTATAACTGTTTTTCCATGATTACAATTTCTGTACATGAAGTTATGTAGGCGTTTAGTCACAAAGTAAAAACACAAATAGCTGCTAGTTTTACTATATATGTATATACCTTTCTAAAGAAAAATAATTGGTTCACACATGATTATGGAGAATAAATAGGTGTAATAGTAAACAAATAAATTATTAATACAATTTATATAATATATTTTAATTATTATTTGGTAGTAATATCTGATGAACTGTCTTCTACATGTCTCACTGGTTTGGATGTTCCGTGACATTTGAGCACAAATTTCAACTCTACTATGAATGCTTCCCAGAGTGTTAACTACAATTAAAATTAATTATTTAAATAAGTATTGATAACTAAAAATAATCTTATAGAATATAGATATATGTACGAAAAAATGTTTTGTTTATAAATTTAATATTTATAATATATCAATAATATTATTGATATCAGCGTATCATTATTTGGTTTTTAAAATCTCTTTTGTTTTACATTCACTTATTTGTATACAAATACAAAATAAATTGGCTGAGTGATGGGTAGAAGGTGAAGATAATAGATACTTCATAATTTTATATCAACAGTAACACTAAATAAGATACAAAAATATATTGAATACTGGATAGTGGTTGGATAATATGTTTAATTTAGAGTAAATAACTGGTAAATATTACCAGCTAAATTTATTTTAAGTTAAATGCTTATATATTTTATACTACTATAATATGTCTATATGAGTCAATTTTAACATAATAATAAACTATTTATATTACAGAGCATAATATTAAGCATGATTGAATTAATATTGCTTTATTACTATATAATGCATTAAATTTTCTAAACGCACAATTTGTAAAAACTAACTTAAATTAACTTAATTATATTTTCACGTCTATGAATCTGTGATGAATCATGAAATTAAGTGTTTTATGCAAAGAATATCATGATAATAAACATTTGTAATTTGTAAATACTCCAATTTATTTTAATTTTTTTAGTAAGCTCTAAAATAATATTAATAAACATATTATAGTATCCATAAACTGTGTTGTATAATTACCAAGTTTTTATATTACCTTTTCTTCAACAGCCACTTTTCTTATATTCCATAAAAATTCAAGTATAGAGAATAAAAATGCTATCAGACAGCCAAGTATTAAAATTACAAACATACCACCAACTTCATTAACATCAAGTTCAGCTGTGTCTTTTTTCAAATCCTAAAATATAAAAATAAATTGGTTCAGTTTCATTTACAACAAATTTGTTTATTGCCAATTAATATTAATATGTACAAATATATATTTATGATTTATATTTTATACATATACAGTATGATTCCTTTTAAAGGTAACACTATCGTAATTTGGTCCAGTGACATTGGATTGAGGTGGGTTTTTAAGTAATTAGGGACTATTGAAATTTGAAATACACATTTTTTTGTAATTTTCAAATTTTTAACCCTTTTATTGTGTACATGCACAGCACAACTTGCATTTTTTTAAATAGCAACACCTACTTTTAACAGTAGATTTGTAAATTTGGTCTTTAATTCCATAGTTCCAAAATCAAAATTGACTAAATGACAATAAGGAAAAGTTTTAATTATAATTATTGAATTTTTCAAAAATCATCCTAGAATTTTATGAATTATGCAATTTCAATTTTTTTTTTTCATATTCATAGATTTTTATACATTATTAAATCATTTAAATTTAATTTTGAAGAATTAATTAACTTAAATAAAGCCTTTGATGTAAATTTAGTTGATTTACTAAAAGGAAATCAAACAAATTAACACAATTTTTATAATTTTTATTATTTATTTGGGTAAAATAATTATTGTTCTTTTATTAATTATATGCCCAAAAATAATCCTAAAACGATATACTGCTTAACAGTTTTTGTATGTAAATAGCAAAAATTTTCTCATTTTAATGTATAGCACAAAAACTAAATAATTTAAATTTAATAAATAATCATTTAATAATCATTTTAATATTCATGATGGGCAACTTACTAAAAATAATGATAAAAGTTATTTTTTTTTTATAAAATTGAAATGTTTATCTACTCATATATTATTTAAACTATTTATAATTCAAGTCAAAAGTAAAGAAAAATGTTCATGGATAATTTTAAAATAACAGTTATTATAGTTTTTATTATTTTTTTATTGAATAATTAATAAAATTGTTAAATACATAGTAACTGACACATATAATTAATTAAAAATATGTAAACTAGACATAAAAATTAAAAATTTCAAATTATATAAAATTATATATTGGATACTAAGATTATATACATATTTTATTATGTAACATTATAATAGTTAAAAAAATGTTGTACCAACCTTACACCTTTTATCGTCAGTTACTGACCACCATTTATTTTTTAGGTCCATTAATGCTCCCGACTCAGAAAGCTTTAATACAGCCATGTTTACAAGCGTCCTATGTGGAGCATCTATAACAAATTACATTTTTTTTATTAAATATCAATAAAATTTAAGTGAATTATACTCAACTGAATGGCATTGCAATACCATATGCTTTGTTATCCAACCAATATCCCACTTCTGTTAGATCACAATTTCTCTGCACTTCATACTCAATAGAACTGGATTCCATAAAGAAAGCATAATGATTTCTCTCCTTTTTAACCCTATTCACCCCTTGTTTGTTATCAGACACCATAACCGAAACACCGTTTAGTTCCATAACACTCCACATCTTTTGGTATAAATTCACATCAGAGTTCTAAAACAAAATAATGCCATTATAGTAAGAATGTAATAAGAGTGAAAAAATACTTTAAAAATATTACAATATGCATTCATTTTTAAATATGCACTCAAAGTTTACTAATGTTCAGAAGAAAAAAATATATTAAATTTTAAAATAATCAGTAGTTGATAATAATTGAAAAACATATAGCATTAACAATTTATTATTTCTTATGTAAAAATTAATAATAACTAATCATAATTTTAATAACTATAGTTTACTTTATTAAACGCTAGGAAGTTGTAACTTAAGATTTTAAAATTGATTTTATTTCAAAACATAATTTGGCATAATTTTATAGATAATATAAACTAACACAAAAGTATATACTATGAAATTAAAATATATACTTAATATTTAAAAAAAATAAAATAAAAAGTTAAAAATATAAAAAATTAAATTAATAATATTTCAATAAAAATGGTTTAAATTTTATTAATTAGATTTAAAATAGTTTATTCTAATAAATAAATGCATTTGAACAAATCTTTTTTTTTTTTTTAGTAATTTAAATAACAACTTTGTTGTGTGACGTATCAACAAATATTTAAAATATATCTAATGATTCAATTACAAATAAATAATTAGTAATTATAAGTACCTATTTAAAAAAAAAAAAAATGTTTAATTCAATACTCAATGTTTAGTATGTTTTCTGTTTTCAAATAATTGTATAATATACATTATTAACTATCTAATATACATTTTTAATGGTATATTTTGAATTCTTTTAATTTTAGTAGACATTTTTATAAAAGAATATGAAATATATAATCACCTTGCACTTACTTGAAAGAAGCTGGCTGTAGATTGATCAGTTACACATCCATATTTGATGTTTTCTGTACCTCCCTTTTTATCAAGATCTTCTACATTCTTTATAGTAGTTTCCATTCGATTTGATGTTAAGAAAGCTGTCCAGTTAGCAGTGTAAGATTGAGTCATAATTAGAGCAAAGAACCACCACATAGCAGCACATAATCTAGTTGGAAACGCTCTAAGATTTTACAAGTGATACCACTTATTATAATGAATACAGTTTTTAAATTGTAAGTAAGATTTACCTAGGCAGAATATCGCTACCTTGACAGAGAATTGATCCCATTGAAAACCATAAACAATTAAGCAATGATAGGGAATTTTCTAATTCTTCTGGATGAAGATTACATGGATGAGGGTTTTGCCATTCGTTAGGTGTAATTCTATAAAGTTTATAGTATAAACAATTAAATATTGTAGGTAATTGAAATATTATATTTGAGTAAGAATATAGAATTAAGAATTACCTGGCTAAAAAAAATAATACCAGAGACAGGCCTAAATAAGCAGTTGCTGTAAATATCCATACTTGAAAGGAAAGTGGCTGGGTGAATGAAAAAAGATCGGTTTGAGGTTCTTCTGGTTTACTAAATAATATGCTGATACCTGCATAAAATTTATAAGCATTTCTAGTGGATGGTTTAAAACACTCAACTTACCTAAATTCATAAATGGCATGGTAAAATCTACAGCAGTCCTTCTTTCGTGAGTAATTGTTAAATCACAGACCCCTAAGTCAGCTCTCTGTGAATATGTTAAAGGCTAGATCACTATCAAGCTTAGGGTCTATTATTACAGTTTTAACAATGTATTTTACTAAACATATAGATAATATTTCTATAAATCAATGTAATAGTAAGTTAGGATATTACTTAATTATGATTGGATATTTAATGCAAAACAAGGAAAACCAAATCAATACATTTCTTAGTGTTATAATGTATTTGTATATTATAATAAATATATGTAATGGGAAAAAATAAAAAAATGTAAAATATCATATCTACATAATTATATATGTGTAAAAAATGTGTTACCATTTCTTGTACTTCACCGATAATCCCATTCCATTTGTTTGTCTTTTTATCACGTTTTCCATTTCCATCATTTCTTAAACGAAATTCATAAGTTATGTTGATTTCTTCAGCAATCATTTGTATAAGATCTACTGCGTATCCTTCATATTTGTCATTACCCTCAAGTTTACTGTGGCCTTCTTTTAACATCAAATAGGGCTCTGTCTATTAAAGCAATTAAATCAAAACTATAATTTATTACAATAAAATTATTGAAATGAATAAAACAATTTCTATTCAAATATATTTAGTATATTTACAACGTATGCAGTGTATTATAATTATTTTTACTTACAACTTTTGATGAAACAATAAATGTTTTGTTCTTACTCCCAGCATATAAATCACGAAGCATTTCAAGGCTGGTTCTTGTATAAGTCATGCCTCTTTCTGGATCCCACGAACCAATTTTTTTGAAACCAGTATCAATTAGTTCTACCATTTCTAGTGTAAAGTAATAACGGTGACCAGTGTTGTTGTCAAAGCGCAAGAGACCAGTTAGGCCTTCAGTTTCAATCTATAACAGAATAAAAACATTAAGTGATGACTACTGAATAATATAGAAATTATACTTACTACTCTCATAAAATTTGTAAGTTTAAATCCATTGGACCAAGGAATAAATGGAGAGTTCATACATTTTAGTGGTTCAGTGATGATTTTATTTACCATACCAAGACTTTTTAATGCTTTAGCAAATACATTTAATGCATCATAAATGAGTATGGCATTAACTGTAAGTTTGTTAGCTTTTAAAGGTTCTATATTTAAGTTCATTCTTTGTTGAACAAAATTCAAATCTTTAACAATATTTTCTACATATGGACTTAACGGATCAATCAATCGGACAGTTGTTATATTTGTACGCAAGTTCTGTACAATACTACTAAAATCAACTGTATGTGCATCCTATAACCAATACACCATTTTATAGTTTTATCTAGATTAACACACTAATTAAACAAATATAATTAATTCTCACCAATGAGGTTATAATAAAACTATGATAGTCATCCAACAAATTAACTTCTTTTGCTTGTTTGAATATAGTTAATATTAAATCTGCATCACAGTCAAGTACAATGTAACTTTCTAGAGACTTCTTAATTTCTTTTAAAATTGGTCTAATAATCAAGTAGTTAACATTATAAAATCTTAAACATTAGGTACCTATGTAAAAACTCACCTAAAATTATTGCCTTCGGGCAATTGTATAATAGAAATGGCTGCTGCTTGTTTGTCATTAGGTTTTGTTTTTCCAGAGTAATCTTGGATTAAGTCTTGTAATCTCTTAAGACTTTCTGACCTTTGATAGAGTAATGTGAATGACTTCCAGTCCATGTCATGAACTATAGCCGTATAACCCTTTAATGATAGATACCTTTATTGTATATTTATATAATTGAAAAAATGTTAGTGATATTGCTTTACTTTTGTTAGTAATGTCGGTTCAGGATATGGGTTGAAATAAAAATTGAAATTTTTAACAGGCATGTTGTCCCAACTAGTTTCTATACATGGGACTTCCATAGTTTCGCAGAGTGACTGCACTATGTTTGATGATTCTAGATAAGACAGACCAAAAACTGCACTAATCCCAGATTCCATTGTTTCACATACTGAAAATTAAAATTATTATATTAGTTACGTAAAACATGATAAATAAAACTTGGATTAAAATTCATTTAAATAAGTATACCTAATCAATATTTTTAATTTTTAATTATAAACAATGAATGAATTAGTTTTTTTTTTTGTTTTGAGGATGCCCCAATCTTAGATTTAGAGCTTTTTGGTACCTAACAAATTTAGTTTTGTTTTTTTATTGGAAAGTGGATAAGTCCAAATTAGAAATTCCCTAACACCTTTAAAATTATCAAGAAAAATAAAACAATATTATAAAAAACGTGGCTATCAAATCAGTAAAAATTTAATTTTGATTTTGTCGCAATAAGAAAATTAATTACTTAAGAGACTTGAAAAATATTTGATATTTGAATACACATTTTTAGTTATAAATAATAAAATTAAAAAAAAAAGTTTTTCTAGCTATTTAATTTTTTTATTTATTATTTACTTGACTTATTTATAAAATTGTTGCTTATAGTAAAAAAGCTGGATTAATTTAATTTTAAGTTCAAGTCTTTTTTACAGCAATTAAAAAATATCGAAAATAAATGTTTAAATTTTGAAATATGATAAAATTCATTTAAAAAACTCTAAAATGTGTAAGTTATTTTTTAAATAAAAATGTATTAAATTTATAATTCAAAAACCTATGATTTGAAAATTAAAAAAAAAAAAATTTGGCGTAAATCAGTCACATACCTTGTTACCTTTATCTTATGGTTTTGTTTTACAATTGATTGAAATTAAAATTTTAATAAAATACCTATTTTAGATAGTTATTGTACTACCAAAGTAAATTTTTAGTACTTTAAAATGCACTTAAAGCACTATAACAAGCGCTATAAATATTAAAGCACTAAAAAAAATTAGAAAAGATTCAAAATAAAATTTCACCAATATTTTTTTATTAATTATTTTTTAGATTTTTTTTAATTATTCAAGTCTCATAAAAAATATTGTGGTAAATATTTGAGAAATAGGTACCTACATATGTTATCCGGCTCTGAAACATTTTAAGTTAATATAAATATGTAAAAACAATTGAAATATTATTGTTATAACTAACCTACCTTGTATCAATAATAAATTTGTAATATAATGTATTATTGTATTAATTTTTAATGAATTTATTTTATTTACCTTAAGAAATGCATTGAACAATAAGACTTCTAGTTATATTTTTAAATTTAAATGATCTACAGATTACAGTAGTACAATTATTTGACAATTGACAGTAGTTTTGAATACCGATTACCGAGAATGACCGCTCAACATCAACAGACATCACGGATGTGTACTTAAAAAATGCGAAATCGTTACAATAAAATTTAAATCTTTAAAATTAACTTTAAATTCACAAATTTTTCAAAATAATATGCTTGTATCAATTGAAAAAATATTAATCAAATTCATTTTCATTAACATAATTTTGGAGCCAATTTGATTAACTAAGTTTTACTTTAAGCATTTTTAAATCAATATAAAAATACGAGAGATAGCCGTATATGTAGGTTATACACTAATTCACGATCTAGCGCACATGCAACACGTCTAATGACCCAAATGAAATTGACGGCAGAAGCACAGAAGTGAGAAGACTATTAAAATCATTGTGCATGTTTATAGTTAGGTAATTCGGCGATAACGCAGTGTCCTATGTTAATTCGACGAATTCGATAATTGCGGTATATTTAATACGATTTTAAAAATAATTAAATTATTGGAAATTAATAGTCCAGTGTGATTGGCACCGCAATAATGGATATTTTTGTTTTCGTTATAGCATATTCGTATATTCGTATTCGTACGTGTTAACTGTTTTGATCCAAAATCTTTTTTTTTATAAAATGTTGTTTATTTTTTTTTTTATATATATATAAAAAATATGCCCGTTTATAGTAATTAAAACAAAACATGTTTCTAAATTAAAAGTATAAAGAATAAAAAAATTTAAAGAATTAATAATATAACATATATTATAGAAACAACTGAAAATAGATAGGTACCTAATAAACCATATTATTTTTTTTCTGTTTTGCTAAAAAATCAAAAATTTTAATTTTAAAATTGTTAAATAATTTTCATGTACCTACCTTTCAGACTAGTCATATAAGTATCTGTAGGATCGATAATTTTAATTTCAGCTTTTAAAAAAACATTTGCAAACTTTGGATCAATGTTTATTTTTTGGATAGCCAATTCGAACATTTTTTGTTCAATGCTGTTTTCTTTGTCGAAGAATCCAACTGTGTATAATTGACAGAAATGTATTTTAACATTTTTTTTCCAATTAAAATAACCTTTTAATTCATAACTGCTATTATTTTTTAACACTTACCGACGGAAAGCGGTACGTTGTCATTTTCTTGTCCCACAACATGGCATAGGCCAATGGTAACAACAAACGCGTACGAAAGAAACATGTTATCGTTCAGAACAAAAAATGTGTACTTACTTGAAATGAATATCGCTTGCGTTCGTCTGGTATCTAGTATTTAAATTTAGAAATATTTACCTGGCCTTTAGCCAAACTTCTCTTATGTAAATGAAGTGTCATAAACTCATAACATTACAAACAAAAGAGAAGACGGTTTCTTGAAAAAATTCACTTTCATTCGTTAAAGCTTAGGGCTATATTATGTCATTTATGTTATCAATAAATACATTTAGCTAAATAACTAATAAATAAACAAATAATTAAAAATGAACTAGGTAACTATTTTTTGACATACCTTAGAGATTTGATACTAAAATTGTTTTAAATAACACAACGGTATAATTTGTATTTAATCTTCTCAAGAACTTAGATATTTTAATATCTAGACATTTTTTGAATCATTTTATATACAACGACAGCTTTAGACACTTAATTCATTTAATGTATGCAAATATTGATTTCATATCTAAAAGAAAGTGATGATGGGAAAATACAAGTATAAATAACAAATAAACACCAGTTATTATTTACAAATTACAATGTTTCTTAATTGATACATTAAATCCATCCAATTAATATTCATTCAAATAAAATACTCACCTAATGTGTGTGTACATTTTGATTTCATTATTGACTATTGTTTTAAGTTAACAATTACTGTTGATTTATAAATTTCTTTGTGATATATCCTTGCAATGTATAATAGATAGTAACTTGTCACAATTTATTTATCAAGGAAATTCATTGTTTTAAAATAAAGTGTGATGAATTTAGTTCTCATTTATCTTTTTGCTAAAAAATTAATAAAAATATAGACTTTGTTATAAACGAGTATAGGCAAAACTTTATTTAAAAAAAATAAATGGATGGTATTTAATACCAATGAAATATCAATTTAAATTTTCTTTTAAGAAAACAAATGATTTATAATATACATACACATTTATATAGTACTTAAGTACATATAAATATACATATTACAATAATTAAAATAGCAAACATCAAAATAAAAACTATTATTTTGCTTCAAGTTTTTCTGAAATTATTTAATACATCTTGCATCAAAAAGACGGATTCTTTGATATCCGCTTTGGTTTTAAGACCTGAAATAAATATAATTCATTATTAACTAATATTAGAGTAAGATAATGTTAAATATTCAGTAAAATATTAAAAAATAATATTTTATGTATCACTAAAACATTTTAAAAAGTTTATTTATTTATACAAGATACAGAAATTCTAAAATTTTATATTGTTTGTATTTTGTTATGAATAAAGTGTATAATGTACTCATTATACTGTAATTTTTTTATTCTATGTGTGTTTATACACAATAAATAGTTAAAAAATAATTCAGTTATTGTTTTTGAGGGTGATTTTGAAAAAAATTTAATTTAATTTGTTTTTAAGAAATCAAAATTAAAAATTATTAGTATTATTTATAATAAATAATAATTAATAAAAACAAACAAAAAAGTTGGGGGAAACAAGAATTTTTATGTAAATCTAGTTTTTGATAAAATCAATTTTGTTTATAGTTGATGTAACATTAAAACAAACAACCGTAGAAACTTGAAACTTTTGAATACATTTTGATATTTTTCAACAGTTTACAGGCAATTGATATTTACAAATTTCTTTTATAAATGTTGATAAAAATTTATAAATGGGTAAAAATGCTTAAAAATTAATTAAATATTTTTAATAAGTGGTTTATTTTTCAATTAAAAAATATGGACAATTTTAATACAAAATTTGAAAAAAATTAGATATTTTAAATTTAAATAAAAAATAACGATTTTGATTATCTTGCAGTAATTTAAAAAATATTATTTAAGGAAACTTGAAACTTTAAACATATATTCTTTTTATACATATATAATAGCATTTTAAAATTAAATGTTTTCAGCAAATATTAATTCAATTTACTTTAGTGTAGATAAAATAACAATATAAATATATAAAATATAGGTTAACAGACCATTTTAGTTTAGAATCAATTTTTTTATATTTAATGGTCATTTAATTTTAATTTAACACACATATTACAGCGACTTAGGTAACTAGTAGAGGTTACCTATTATCATATTTATTTTTATTGGGAACACTGCCAACTATTAATTTTTAAATGGCTACTTATAATTTAAATTTCATAAAATTTAGAAAAAAATAGTTATTTTTATTAATAATAATTTATTGCTTGACGAATAAAGTAGTGCATTATACTTTTTTATTGGTTATCTATCATCACATCATTTCTCTGGTTTAAAATCAAAATGTTTAAAATAAAACTATTAAAATTCTATTTGTTCAGTATTTAATAATTATTATTTATGCATAAAAATATTTTGATACAAATAATGAATTAAAATATGTTTGAATACAATAAGTATAATTGTGATTATGAAATGGAAGTTACAATTAACATAAATTATATTAAGAACTAACAAATAATAATCGATATAAATAAACTTTTTAATTTGTTATTATTTTCTATATTTTAGGGCTTTTTGTTTGTTACTATAAGGTCTAAGTTTTCCCCATAAACATTAGGTATAAGAACCTCACTAGTTCATTATTATAAGTACCTTTCTAAACTATGAGTAAGTAAACTTCTGTTTTCCACAACTATGGTAAAGATAGACAGTTATTTGAATATTTTCAAGAAAACATTACCTGTCAAAACTACTTTTCCATTTACAAACATTAGAAACACTGCTCGAGGTTTGACCATCCGATAAATTAATGCAGGAAATACTTCTGGCTCAAAGCTAAACACATAAATATATTTTAAATGATGTAATTACATTTTACTTAATTATATTAAATTAAATAAAATAACATTTTTTTTTTTTTTTTTTATGGGATATTCAAAAGGTTTATTTGTATAAATCATTCGTTTTTTATTTTTAAATATTTGCTCAATAGTTAAGATTATAAAATAAATGAAAATTTAAATTTAACATTGTTTATTATACTTGAAGTTTATTTAAGATAATATAATAATCACAAATATACTGCATTTAGGACTTGATTATTCAAACAAATTAAAAAAATTAATTTTGTTTCACTATATATTAATAGATGAAAAAGTATAACTAAAATTAGAATTTGAAATTAATAATTTTGTATGATTTATAAAAATTTGAAGAAAAAAATAAAATATTCATAAAGAAAAAATAGAAGTACCTGGTAAATTGTGAGTGAGCAGTATTTAATTCTTCCAACATTATTGGGAAACCAACATCCCACGTACATACAATATTATGCACTGTATAGTCACAAAATTGTACCTACATAATCAATTAATTATGATGATATATAATAATATAAGAGGTTAATAAAAATCAAACTAACATTGTGTCCTAGTCGTTCTAAAATTTTTGCTACTTTTCGACAACCTAAATTTCCAGTTCGGTCATCCTTAGCACCTTGCATGATCATTTTGCCCGATGGAAATAATAGGCTTGTGACATTAGGTTTACGAAGACGCATAATTAGCCCATTAAATCTTTGTGGATTATACTCAGAGTTACTAGTCCACATAACGATTCTTACTAAGTCTAAAGGACATCCCATGTTGGCACCACATACAATGTTTCTGCAATACAAAAGTATAACTTAATTAAGTTGAAAAATAATAAGTAATGAACTAATTGTATAATTGAATTCATGAAAAAAACTCACTGAACTTGAATGGATTGACCACCTTTGTTACATCGAATGAATTGAGGTATATGCATAATAATAGTTTTATGAGGATTTGCATTATTACTATCTTCATTATTTAGTTTTAATTTTTTTTTTATTGGTTCAAAGTTATCATCATCAAGTCCATCAAAAAAATGTTTATTTTCTAATTTATTTATAATTTCAGGCGTTAAAACTACTTCTTCAGCATCTTCTAATTTTTTAACAAATTTTGAATCTGGCTCTTTTGAATTTTCATTTGAATTTGTATCTTCTTTTTTATTATATACTGGACCTAGGACAACTTCTTCTTGACTGCCATCATCAATAACTTTACCAAGTACTTCCTCTTGTACACTACCTAATGCTTCTTCTTCTCCAGCAATGTGTTCTCCATATTCTTCATACTCGTTGTCTTTATCGTAAAGAGTTTTACTGAGCATAACATGTAAACTTTGTTCGCCCACATCACTTTGATCACTATCATAAAATTCTTCATCATCACTTAAATCCATTATTACAGATATATTCTGAAAGCATAAAAGAATAATAAGTAAATAAATATTTTAATAAGAATGGTGTTATAATGGTATAATACATACAATGGTGTTATTTCTGTGATTTTTCCTACATTTAACTATAAAAGTTTATAAAAAAAAATATTGGCTATATATTTTTTAGTTAAATTTTAACAAATTAAAAAGAAATTTACTGATATAAATATTTAATTAATACACAAATTATTTACAGTTTATTTTTTTTTAATGACAACAGAATAATAATTACATTTGGAAAATCAAAACTAGTTATTTTAACAATTATAAGGAATTTTTTATTTAAACTATACTTTTTAACTGTACTTTTTTATACTATACTAAGCATTTTTTCTGCTCAAAAACTGATGATAGATGGAAAAAAAGCATCATTGTAAAACCAATAATTTTGTAGCCTAAAATTTTTCAGCATAAGTAGGTGAATAAAATTATTATAATTTAGTCCAAAAATAATTAATTTAAAAATTGAAATAATGTAAAAGTTAACATATAAACACATGTTATGTTTTTACCTTTTAACTTAATTATATGTCAATTCACTCTAATATTAAATTTAACAGCACATTATTTGTTCTATTGAAAGCAAATTTGTTATTTTATGTCTTAAACCTACCATAAAATAAAGCTTTAGAATAGATTAATTGTATAACAAAATGCCAATGACAGACTTTATGCTTTAAAATAAAAATTAAGTAGTATATTATTTATTTAAACAAATTTAATCTTGATTGATTATTTTAACTGTTTTTAAATAATAAGAGAATCTAGCTTAACATTGTTGAAATACTTAACAACCATGAATACATATGTACTTTAAATTCATAGGTGTAATTTGGAAATTGTGGAGTCTTAAGACTGCTCTTTCAGATATTTTATTGAGGGAGCAATAGTATCGTTTTGCTCCTCTTTAAAAGTAATAATTCAATTTTTATTTCATTATAGAAAATTGAAACAGCATAATTCATTGTATGATAATTAATAATACATTTATCAT